TCTTCAGAACAAAAAGTAGCTTGTGACTTTTCAGTTTCCTGCACCCTAACCCTCACTGAAGCCTCATCAGCAGTAAATTAAAAGTCAAAAGAGGCCACTGGGCCCTTGGCAGCCTGGCTGACACCAGGAGGGCTGGAAGTCATTGTGCCTTTTTACACCTTTGGGTCTGTGGCTTCCAAACAGGAGGCAGGCAGGGCGTGGGGCCTGCCCTGGGATTTCACTGGTGGGTCGAAGCTCTGTAATCAGGCTCAGGCTGGAGAGAGGCAATCCATGAAGTGGGGGAAAAGCAGGTGGGAGCAGCATACAGCTGACCCCAGGCCGTGTTTGCAGAACAGTCTGGAAGCTGAAGACCCACACATGGATTCCTTTAAGCCAATTGGCCCCGGTATGCGGATGGTCTTGTGTGCATGCCCCTTTAAAGACCCCCGTAGACCGCAGAGCTGTGCCACCTGCCGCACAGGTGCAGGGCTGGGAGCCCAGAAAGCTCTCTGTCCTCTCCTCACTGCAGACAGAGCTCTACTGTTTCTCAGGATACGCTGCAAGCCAGCTGCAGGGTCCCCTGAGTCACCACGAGGAGACAGAGGCTCAGAGGGATGAGGGACCCACGGCCGCGTGGCCAGGCCAGGCCTCGCCTCCTGCCTTAGGCGTGCACGGACCCGAGCCTCTGCATTCCAGGATCCTGCAGGACCCTGAGTCGCAGAACACGGCTCTCCCTGGGCCACTGCGTGCCTGGCTCACGAGGTGTCAGCTGAACAGGGAAATCCAGGCGTGATGCCGTTAAAATCTCTTCCTGAGGCACATGGCAGAGTGATGCCTCAGCTCCGAGAACATTACACTAAGTGAAAGAGCCAAGAGGCCGCATACCGTCTGGTCCCATTTTTAATTGTTTTAATTTATTTTTATTTTTTATTTTTTTGAGACGGAGTCTCACTCTGTCGCCCAGGCTGGAGTGCAGTGGCACAATCTCGGCTCACTGCAAGCTCCACCTCCCGGGTTCACGCCATTCTCCTGCCTCAGCCTCCTGAGTAGCTGGGACCACGGGCACCCACCACCACACTTGGCTAAGTTTTTGTATTTTTAGCAGAGATGGGGTTTCACCATGTTAGCCAGGATAGTCTCAATCTCCTGACCTCGTGATCCGCCCGCCTCAGCCTCCCAAAGTGCTGGGATTACAGGCATGAGCCACCGCGCCTGGCTGGTCTGGTCCCATTTTATGAAATGTCCAGGATAACAAATCCATAGAGACAGAATGGATTTGGGGTCACTGTGGGGAGGGTGTGGAGAAGACAGTGACAGCTCCTGGGGCCAAGATTCACTGCGGGGGTGATGGCGTGTCTGGAGTTAGGCAGAGGCGCTGGTTGCAGAACATTGTCAGTGTACTAAATACCACTGAATTGTGCACTTTAAAATGGCAAAAAATAGTAAATTTTATGCTCTGTTTATCACAAATTTTTTAAAGATCTTAACGTTCTTTTGGGAAAAAAAAAAGAAGAATAAGCCTGCAGAAGATGAGCGCCCGCCCCTGGCCTTCCCCCATGGCCCCTGGACTTTGGTAGAAACTCCTTACAGCCTCTGTCCAAGCCCTAACTTCTCTCCCTCTGGCCCTGCGTCTGTGTCTGCTTCTTCCGGTTCCCCCTCCGGATTTGAAGAAGCACCCCCAGCATCCTGCCAGGCCCAGCTACACATCTGCCCGGGGCCCCGGCACTGACTCTGTACCCCCAGCTCAGGTGCTGGGGATGTGGCTCTGGACCCAACCTCCGTTATCTCCCCTCTGCAAACCACAGAGCGGGGTGGCGTGCCCTGTGCCCTCCTGGAGGCCCTGTGAAAATCAAGCCAATGAAAGTTCTGGGACACGCGGGGTGGAGGTGCCCAGCTCCCTTCTGAGTGGACCTGGGTATTCCCGTTGGTGCTCAGAAGCTGTGCAGAGTCAGCCCCCACCCTCATCTCCGGGGTTCGGAGACAGACTAGAAAGCAGCAGCAAGCTTTGCTTTCCGTGTTTTCACACAGGCAACAGGTAACAACACCCATGTTTGTGGCTGTGCCGAGCACCACGAGGGCCACAGGAGGTGCTGGGTGGGAGGGCACTGGCTCCGGCTGCGTGGCTGTCTCCCCCCGAAACGTGGTCCAGGGAACTTGGCATCTGTGTTCAGTCCTCCCAAATGCACCCTTTGGAGATCCAGCCCCACCATGTGCCCTTGGGGTGCAGGGTGGCCTGGGCCCTGGGCTGCTTCTTCCGGACTCATGACAGGCATGGCTGATGAATCACAGTGCTTTTTCTGCCGCCCACAGAAGCAGCCTCAGCATCCCCCACAGGACAGTGACCCCAGCAGCCGCAGCAGACACAGTGGACGCAGCAGCCTGGGAAGTGAATTCACCTTCGAGGCTGGGTCAGGGCGTCTCACATTATTTGTGGAAAATAAATATCCATTGGCAACTGATGCTTTTGTAAAAGTAAAAAAGTACAAGTATGCAGTGGAATTCTCTAGTGCTGAGTGTCAGTCACTACGGAGTGAGGATGTGCAGTGCTGAGTGTCGGTCACTATGGAGGGGGGGTGTCCAGGCTGAGTGTCGGGGTCACTATGGAGTGGGAGTGTCCAGGCTGAGTGTCGGTCACTATGGAGGGGGAGTGTCCAGGCTGAGTGTCGGTCACTATGGAGGGGGAGTGTCCAGTTCTGAGTGTCGGTCACTACGTAGGGGGAGTGTCCAGTTCTGAGTGTCGGTCACTATGGAGGGGGAGTGTCCAGTTCTGAGTGTCGGTCACTATGGAGGGGGAGTGTCCAGGCTGAGTGTCGGGGTCACTATGGAGTGGGAGTGTCCAGGCTGAGTGTCGGGGTCACTATGGAGTGGGAGTGTCCAGGCTGAGTGTCGGTCACTATGGAGTGGGAGTGTCCAGGCTGAGTGTCGGTCACTATGGAGTGGGAGTGTCCAGGCTGAGTGTCGGTCACTATGGAGTGGGAGTGTCCAGGCTGAGTGTCGGTCACTACGGAGTGGGAGTGTCCAGGCTGAGTGTTGGTCACTACGGAGGGGGAGTATCCAGTTCTGAGTGTCGGTCACTACGGAGGGGGAGTGTCCAGGCTGAGTGTCGGTCACTACGGAGGGGGAGTGTCCAGTTCTGAGTGTCGGTCACTATGGAGGGGGAGTGTCCAGGCTGAGTGTCGGTCACTATGGAGGGGGAGTGTCCAGTTCTGAGTGTCGGTCACTATGGAGGGGGAGTGTCCAGTTCTGAGTGTTGGTCACTATGGAGGGGGAGTGTCCAGGCTGAGTGTCGGTCACTATGGAGGGGGAGTGTCCAGGCTGAGTGTCGGTCACTATGGAGGGGGAGTGTCCAGGCTGTCAGTCACTATGGAGTGGGAGTGTCCAGGCTGTCAGTCACTATGGAGTGGGAGTGTCCAGGCTGTCAGTCACTATGGAGGGGGAGTGTCCAGGCTGAGTGTCGGTCACTATGGAGGGGGAGTGTCCAGGCTGAGTGTCGGTCACTATGGAGGGGGAGTGTCCAGGCTCAGTGTCGTTTACTATCCAGTGGAAATCTCTAGTGCCGTGTGTCAGTTCCTACAGAAGGTTCCGTCACTCCCCATGCATCTCCCGTCTGGGAACCATCTCTCACGGACTCTCGCGGCATTCACAGGCCCCCTTCTTTACACATCTGTTACAGCAGGTTTCAGAAAGCTCTAGAGACAACAGATCGGGATGAAAACAAGGGGAGGCCGGGAAATACAGAAGGCAGAGCCCCACCCACCACCTGCCCACAGCAAGGCCTCAGACAGGTCTCACAGTCTCTGGATTCTGTGACTTCAGCCGTGAATAGCGTTGCAGTCATAGTCAAATTTCAGATAAACAAATTCTTAAAGTACAAGCGTATCTCAAATATTGCCTGGGACATACACTGAAAATCAGTTACTGTTTATCTGACATTCACGTTTAACCAGGCATCTAACCAGGCATTCTGGATTTGTCATCTCCAAAATCTGGCAGCTCTCCCTGTGCAGGATTTGATTCCTGTAGCCAGTAGCATTGTGTTCAGCTGCAAATCACAGGAAACCTAATGGGAGTGTAAACAAGGTTTGTTTCTACATCACCAAAGCCCAGAGGCAGGTGGCTCCAGCCACCGCAGTGACACTGTCTGGTACCCAGCATTTCTACTCTTTCAACTTCACTATCCTCTTGCTTATGGTTTCCTGGCTGCAAAGTGGCTGCCCCCGCTCCAGGCATCATGTCTGCATTCCAGGCAGGAAGAAGGAAGAAGGGTCAGAGGACAAAGACCAGGCCGGCCTCTTTTCATAAGGAAAATTGAGACTCTTGTGGAGGCCTCACTCGGCTGACTTCTCTTTATGCTCCGCGACAAATGGATTCGTTCCAGTAGGTTCCAGTCCACAAATCCACACTGCTCAAACGCGACACTGCTGAGGCCCTTCTCACACCAGGATTTTCAAGCTTCTCTCTTCACATCTTCTCTGCTATCTTCAAACAGCCTCCGCACCCATGACCCCGTCGACCTGGCACCTGGTCCCATGAGTTCAGCAGAGCAGGTGACACGGTCCCATTTCACGGATGCTGTCCACATTGAACTTAGAGCTTCAGGCAGACGAGTGCCCTGCCCTTCCAGCCCAGCAGGTGCAGGCCTGAATCATTCAGTATCACTCACGTCTCCTAGGCTGTCCTGGGAGGGCAGACAGACCTGGGAATCAAGGACCTTGTCTTATCTCTGCGTGTTTTCTACTGAAAATCATCGGAGGGAAATGGACTCGTCTTCCTTGGAACTTTATTTATTTATTTATTTATTTTAATTTATTATTATTATTTTTTGGACAATTTGGCTCTGTCGCCCAGGCTGGAGTGCAGTGGTGCGGTCTTGGCTCACTGCAGCCTCCATCTCCCGTGTTCAAGTGATTCTCAGGCCTCAGCCTCCCGCCAAATAGCTGGGATTACAGACGCCCGTCACCGCACCCGGCTAATTTTTGTATTTTTAGTAGAGATGGAGTTTCACCACGTTGGCCAGGCTGGTCTCGATCTCCTGACCTTGGGTGATCTGCCCACCTCGGCCTCCCAAAGTGCTGGGATGACAGGTTTAATGATCTTGTTAAACAATGAGCCACGTTTCCTCCAGTGATCCCAGACACCATCTCTGCCCTGCTCCCATTTTCCCTCCATCACCTTTCCCAGCAGCTGGGAGGAAGGAGGAGGAAAAGGAGGGTTCTCCTGGGACCCTCCCTCTCCTGCACCTGGATTCCTTCTCAGGCAATCACAGCATCACATTTATTTCTAGAACATTCTCTACTGCGCATGGTTTTTACCGGTGGTATGACCCATGCCACCTCCTGCCTGTGCCAGCACCTCTGTCCAAGACCTGCAGGCTCTGTAAGCGCTGGGTGCTGCCCCAGTGCCCGGGCCTCCTCGCAGACCCTGAACACCTACATGCCTCCAGCCCCAGGTGTGCCCACAAGTTCTCTCCGTCCTTGGCTGTGCACAGGTGTTCTCTCTGCGTCTCCTGGGAGCCCATCGTCATCACCAGGACTACTTCAACTCTCTTCTGCAAGGAGGCCCCTCTGCTCCCCGACAGCGTCATGCCCCGTCCCCACCGCCCGTCCATGGCCGCAGCAGCTGCTCGTGTGACTGTCCGTGTAGCGTGTATCAGACCAGGACACGGCGGGCCCAGGCCAGGCCTGAACCTCTGGCACATGCGGCGTGCCTGCCAGTAAGGGCGTCGGCACATGACTCAGCCCGTCAATCAACAGGGGCGTTGTCCGTCCAGCTGCTAGGACCTTGGCATCGCGAGGACGGGGCTTTCTCTCTGTTCCCCTCCGAATCCTGGCCCTGGGTTGGGGTGGCACAGCCCAGGCATGCAGCACTCATCTGTTGGGTGAATGAGCAGCTGACAGGGCTGCCAGGGGTCGGGGCACAGAGGAATCAGCCCTCTGGGAACTCAGGCCTGCTCCATGGAGGCAACGGGAAAAGGGAGGCCAAGGCGGTACAGGGTCCCACTCTGACCATCCCCTGAGGGAGCCAGGTCTGCAGCATGAGAGAGGCCTGCAGAGGACCCACAGCCTGCAGTGGGAAGAGCAGAGCCGGCGCAGACCTGGGCCATGAGCAAGTTCATCTCCTTCCGAAGGCCACACCCAGGCCCCCAGCCCCCGGCCCTGGGGGAGCGAGTTTGTCTCCCTCCAAAGTTAGTGCTGGGCTGCTGGGTGGCGACTGTGCTTCTCCACCTGCCCCCACCCAGGCCTCAGTCTCCCCATCTGAGAATGGGGAGGACGCCTCTCCACCAGCCGGCTTCTGCTCCAGACGACACGTGGGTGATGTCCGGGGACGTGGGGCACTCACGAGCTCTGCACCAGGACCTGGCATTACTCTGACGCCCCCGCCCCACATAAAACTTCTCCTTTCCTTCTTGGAGGAGTTCCCCATTCGAAGTGACCACATCAACCTCAACTTCTCCCCGGGAGCTTTGGGCTATTTTAGGCCTCTTCGCCCACAGCGTGCATCCAGGGCCCTTTCCTCTCAGGATAGGCTTGTGCCGTCTGAGGCTCTGACAGCCTGACCAGGCTTCCTATGGCTTCGTGGGCATGCACGGCCTTGACACCCATCCCGCTAGTGCCCGGTGCGCCGACAAAGTTCCGTGGCCTCTCTGTGAGCGAGGGAGTGCGAGCGGCTCACAGGAGCTTTGGTTCCAGGTCTGCTGTGACTTTCAAGCAGCCTTGTTGAGGTTTAACCCACACATCTTACCACTCACCCATCTCAAGTACACAAGTCAGTGGCATTTAACAGAGTCACAGGGGTGTGCAACCATCACTGCTAACAAGTTTTAGAGCATTTTCCCCCAAAAGAAATCCCATGCCTGTGGGCAGTCAGGCCCGTTCCCTCCCTCAGCCCTGCCCACCACTCATCTGCTTCCTGCGTCTGTGGATTTGTCTTTTCCGGCATTCTGTGTAAGTGGGATCCTGTGTCCAGCTCTTCCACTCACCCGTGTTTTCTGGGTCCATCCCGCTAGAGGGTGTGTCGGACCTGCCTTTCTTCTTATGTCTGAATAGTATTCCACTGCGTGCATCTGCTTTTGAGTTTATCTGTGCTCGGCTGACAGTCTGTTGAGAACCTTGTCTCGTCACAGCTGTGTGTCTCAGGGGAGCCACCGACCCTCTCTGGGCCTCCTAGATGTACAGTGAGGACAGGTGTGGAGGTCAGCAGGGTGACGTGCCTGGGGGTGGAGGGACTGGCTGTCACCTCCGTTTCACCCTCCCCGGGCTGAGGGGTGCCGTGGTCTCTGAGCAAGCTCCGACCCCATTTGTGCTGTGTGAGCAGCACTGTTGTCCCGGGTCAGGTGGGAGCCCCCCAGAAAGAGCTCTGCCATGTCTGCTGCTAGCCCTGAAAGGCAGTGGCATCCGTCCTGGGTGCCCTGGCGTGGGGTGCGGGTGTCCTGAGGGCAGGGAAAGGCAGCACTTCTGACCGGGAACCTCTGGGGCCATCAGCTGGCTGCCCAGACTGTGAGGTTAGAGCCACCTGGAGCATTTGGTGAGAGGGAAGATTCTGGAGAGTGGGTCGATGGGGGAGGAGCCAGCAACCAGTCCCGCGCGACGGTGATTCTGCTGGGCAGCTGCCCGTGGGCACAGCCTCTGGATCCTGAAGCCCAAGGGCGGCTTTGTTCGGGGGGAGAGCGGGACGAAGACGTAGAGGGCCCCGACTTCAGGCTGCTGCAGTCTCCGGGTGAGCCACTCCGTCTGTGGTTCAGCCTCTGCATTTAAGAGGCCCTGGCAAAGTACGGTGTGGACAAGAGGGTGCCGGGCAGCCAAGAACCCCGGGGGCCGGGCTCGGTGCAGCTGCTGCAGGCCCTTGTGACGCTACCTGGAGCAGGCATGGAGGGAGGGCAGGGTCACGCAGTCCAGTTCAAAACTCAGTCAGGGAGGCAGCCGAGGAGCAGACGCCAGTCCCCCTGCCGTCCCCCCGCCGGCCACGCCTGGAACGCCTTTCTCCCGGGGCACCACCAGCAGGTCTTCCAGGAACAGACACCAGGCCAGGTGGGGCAGCTGCAGGTTGGGCTGATGGAGACAGAGCCTGTGGGTCCCAGCCTCGCCTCCCTCTGCCATGGGATTGTGTGACTCCAGACAAATGCCTTCTGGGCCTCCATGTCCCCTCCTGGGAAGCCCCAACCCATGGAACTGAAATGGGCCATGCCTGTGAGGCCTGTAGAAGCTCTGCGTTCCTCCACCCTCCACCCTCCAGGAGCTGCTGGGCTCTGAGTCTGGGGGAGCAGGGTCGTCCCTGGGCTCAGTCAAAGAGCAGAGAACCCTGAGAGCCCCGGGGACAAGCAGGCGGACACGCTGTGTCCCGGGGACCCGGTGGGTGGGTGAAGGTCTCCCGCCCACCCTGGGACAGGCCGTGAGCTCCGTGTGCATGGGATTCTCCCGTGAAGCGGGTCTTCGCCCTCCGTCACACGTGTGGTAAACAGGGCTCCGACCCAGGTTTCCTGGCCATTCTGTCTGGAAGCTCTACACGGCCTCTGGGGCTGGGGCCAGGCAGCCGCCCTCCAGGGCTCTCCTACAGACAGCTAACTCCAGGGTCTCTTTCCCAAAGCCTCAGGGAGCAGGAACTCAGTAGGCCTGGGGGTTGGGAGCCCTGGGCGGGGTCAGGAGCCCTGGGCGGCGTCAGGAGCCTTGGGCAGGGCTGTCGCCGCAGGGGGCTGTCAGAGTAGATGGGTGGCCGGCCTATCATGGTGGACAGGGTGCCTTTGTGGTCAGGGGACTTTCCATAGCAGCTGGGGTACCATCGTGGTGGCTGGGGGCGCCCACTGTGGCCAGGGGGCTGTCTTGGTCAGTGGTGGGATTTGAAGTCTTCAGAGGAGGAATGGGAGCTCCTGGGCAGCTCTCTGACTGGCAGCTGTAGAGGGGCCATGACCACACCCAGGCATGGCCACGGTACATTCACGCCTGAGTCCAGAAGCACCAGGACTCCAGAGGAAATGGCCTCCGGCTCGGTGGCCATTGTCCTGACATGGTGTCAGCTGTTAGAGGCCGCCTGCCCTCAATCGCCCAGGGCAGGAGCAGAGCCCACATGCTCTGTGGACATCTCTGTCGCTCACAACACAGGTGACAAGGCCCACGGCAGCCACAAAGTCATCTGAAGTGGAGCCATCCCCCTTAAGAGAAACCCAGAAAACACATATGATGAAGATTCAGGGGATGCAGTCGCAGCAAAATAAACCCAAATGTGTATTTTCCCGGGAGTAAACTGTGCCTTCAAAAGACAGGCATAAGGGTCTCAGGGTGCCAAATACAGCAAAAGGCGCTTTGGCATCCAAGCCACACACAGCCTGGGAGCAGACACCTCGCCTCGCCATCGTCCCGGCCACCCCTGCTGGCGCTATCCCGAGCCGGAAGCCCCCACGTCCCGTACATTCCGATCCTCCCAGATCCCTGATACCCGCTGCTCGACCCCAATCTCCTAGACTCAGGGTCCCGAGAGTGGGCGGGAGCTGCGGGGACCTTTTGGATGGCTTCGCCGGGAGCTGTGGGGACTATTTTGAGGACTCTGCCAGCCTCTGGCCACAGCGTTTCTAGGACAGGGCCCCGGGTGGACGTGGGGAGCCTGGCCGGCTCTCCCCACACTCACTCCTTCCTTCCCTCTTCCATCAACCCTCACCACTCACCACTGGCTGTCAGCCCCGCAGGGCCTGTGAGAAAGGGATGCAAAGGCAGAAATAAGAGTCCCTCGGCCTTTCCACCAGGAGCAGGTCTGGCTGAGTGTGACAAGCCCAGCTGAGGGACAGAGGCGATGGCTCCGCCCAGGCACGGCGCTCCTTGTTGCTCCTCCTCTGTCATTGCTGGGGACAGCGAGACTGGGGGCCGATCTATTGGGCAGATGGAGACCAGGTTGCGTTTTTTGTCGTGGGTGAGGATGGTCACTCATTAGATCATCTGCTCATTCAGCAGCAAACCCGATGACACCGCTCGACACAGGCCCTGTGTGGGGTCCTGGACATTCCGTCCCCAGGGTGCCGGGGGCGGGGGCAGGAAGCCTCGGGCTGTGGCTCCAGGGGGTCCGCCAAATACTTGTTCAAGGAGAACACAGAGACCTGTGAACAATTGTGAAGGGGCTATCCTGGGGGGACGGGAGGCGTCTGTCCCGGACTCAGGAAGGGCAGATCAGGGAATCCCTGCCTCCCAGCAGGAATGGCCACTCAGCGGGACCTGAGGCTGAGAGGAGTCTGTGGGCAGAAGGTTCCGGGCAGATGGGCGGCGTGTGCCTGTGAGGCCGGAGCTCAGAGAGGCGGTGGGGGTGAGCAGCAGCATCCCATGCGCGGGAGCTGAGACTCTCTCTCGGGCAGGGAGTGGCACAGCCGGATTTGTCTTGCTGAAAGCCGTCTCAGTGCCCCGCAGGAAAAGGATTGGAGGGAGGCAGCTCCCTCACCCCGTGGCCTGGCAGAGCCTCCCTGGGTGCCCTCGCTCCAGTGATGATAGACGGCTTTGTCAGTGCCGGGGATGCGTGCGGTTTGGAGACTGTCCACCCTGGGGCCTGGCCAGGTCTCTGGCTGATAAAAATGAGTCGCTCTGCCTTTGCACCGCAGCAGGCCTGTTCCCATCACTCAGGCTCTCAGCACTCAGGTGCCCAGAGCAGCTTCCGGCTTAGATCTCACAGCCTCCTGGGGCTGCTGGGGCTGGGGAGACCCAAACCCACCTCTGCCAAGGGTCTGTGCCAGAATGCTGCAGCCGCAAGTGACAGAAACCCAGCTCGAAGGCATCAGGGAGACCTGGGACTGTGCTGGCTCAAGCACCCAACTACAGGAAGGGCAGGGGCACCGGCTTCAGGCCCCACAGACCCAACCATTAGCACGCCCTTGGCCGCTCTGCCCACCCTCTCTTCCCAGCAGCCGTCCAGGCCACTCTGGGCTTGCCTCCCACGCAGACCAAAGAAGTTCTTCCTCTCCTGTTCCAGTTCAAAAACTCCCAGGGGAAGGATTGTGACTGGCCACGTGTGGTCACCTGCCCTCCTCCTGGACCAATCGCTGGGGCCGCGGCTGCCTGCGTGACTGTCCTCTGAGCTCTGAGCCCTGTGCCCACCCTGGGGCCATGGCAGCAGGTCTGACCCGAGCTGGGGCTGAGAAGCCACAGACCCAAGGGGAGGGAATGGCAACAAACCCAGCAGCCACGCCGATTTTGTACTGCAGGTGCAATTTTAAAACTGATTTTTTAATTGAAAAAAGCAAAGATAAAACAAAAATACTTACAGAAAAATTCAAACATATAGGTAACAGAAAAGAAGGTGAAAATAAAATAAAATGCGGATAATGATACCTCTTGAAGAACTGTGTGATGAGGAAATGAGAACAAACAGTCACTCAACAAACAAAGGGAGGGATGGAGACCCGGAAGACAGGTGCTAAGACTCCTGACCCTCTGTGCCGGTGCCGGTCCAGGCGAGGAGTGAACGGACCAATGTAGTTCCTGCCCTGGAGAACAGGGGAATGCAGAACAAGCGCAAACAGATCCAGAAAGAGAGACGGGAAGAGAGACGGGAGAGGAGGAGAGGGGGCCAGGCATGAGGAAGAGAAGCAGGGAAGCCGTGTGACTTCAACAGTGGCGGGGGCTATCGTTCCTTTGTTTTCTTTTTATTTTTTTAGACAGAGTCTCGCTCTGTGACCCAGGCTGGAGTGCAGTAGTGCAATCTCGGCTCACTGCAACCTCTGCCTCCCGGGTTCAAGCGATTCTCCTGCCTCAGCCTCCAGAGTAGCTGGGATTACAGGCACGCGCCACCACGCCCGGCTAATTTTTGTATTTTAGTAGAGATGGGGTTTCGCCATGTTGGCCAGGCTGGCCTTGAACTCCTGACCTTAAGTGATCCGCCTGCCTCAGCCTCCCAAAGTGCTAGGATTACAGACGTGAGCCACCGTGCCTGGCACCTTTTGTTTTCTTCTTGTGGGATTTGCCTTCTCATGAACTTTGTTGAGCGTTATTTTGAGTGCTTGTACTGTTCTTCTCTCTAGCAATGTTTGTGTGCTGGGGCCACTGTCGTTTGTCCCCACACCCACTCCCAGCCCATCTTTTTTTTTTTTTTGAGATGGAGTCTCGCTCTGTCACCCAGGCTGGAGTGCAGGTGGCTTGATCTCAGCTCACTGGAACCTCTGCCCCCTGGGTTCAAGCAATTCTCCTGCTTCAGCCTCCCGAATAGCTGGGACTACAGGCGCACACCATCACACCTGGCTAATTTTTGTATTTTGGTAGAGATAGGGTTTTGCCATGTTGGCCAGGCTGGTTTTGAACTGCTGACCTCCAGTGATCCGCCCGCCTCGGCCTCCCAAAGTGCTGGGATTACAGACGTGAGCCACCACGCCCGGCTCCCAGCCTGTCTCTCATCAGGGTGGCCTGTCTCTTTCAGGACATGGAAGTTGCTCGTGCCTACATGGCCAAACCTCTCCAGCTTCTTAAAATTTTGTCAGAGTTTCTCGGCTGCCTTAATTTTAAACTAGTATTATACAAATGCTCGTTTCTTTCTCTTAATCCTTTCACTGTTTTAGTTTTTCACATTTTATTCTTTAACCCAAGTGGAGTTTATTTTTCCAAGTAAAGTAAGGAGTATATAATGTATTTTTCCCAGGTGGGGCAGTTGTCCTGACCCCATTTACTGGGGAGTTCGTGCTTCTCCAGGGATTTTAAACACCACCTCAATCCCATCCAATTCCCTTTTACACACGTGCACCGGCTGGTTTTCCCACGGGACGCTTCCGATTTCCAGCTGTTTGTGCCTGGCCTGGTTCTCGTGTGAAGTTCAACAAAGACAAGAGAGAACTCTGAACTTGTCTTTGGGCCACATTGCAAATGCCTAGGACAGCCAGCACTTAGCCCCATTTTACAGGAAAAACTGAGGTTTGGCAAAGCGTCCGTAACTTACCTTCCATTGGATATGGAGAGTGAAGGAAAAAAGAAATGAGTAAGTAAATGAAGCCACTTTACAATTAGGAAAGCTCATTCTGCAAAAGCAGCGATGCCGATGTTAGCCAGGGGCGAGAGCCAAGAGGCACTCTCTGAGGCAAGGAACCTTCCTGGCCGGAGCCTGGACTCCCTCAGCTTTAGGGTTCTTCCCTGCCTCCCGGGAGGGTCTCCTTGACCTCGTGGGCAACGTAAAGCCAGGTTATCCGGTGCCCACGCCACATGGCCAAGGCTGATGGCCAAGGCAGAATCTGCTTGGGCCAGTGTGGGTCCTTTTCCAGCTACCCCTGCACAGTCACCCTCTCCCAGTTCCCCAAGAAAGGCCAATATCTCCCTGCCTGGGGCCAGCCTGGTGCCCCCAGCTCCCCACTCGCCCTGGACGTGTCTCTGCTGCAACCTGCTGGTTTCTGGTCTTTGCATGAAACAGAACTGAGGGGGGACAGAACCGATTTGTCAGCTGACAGCTGTTCAAAACGACTTTGACCACTCCCCACGTGGCTTGTGGCATCTGACTCTCAGAAGGAGGTCACAGCGAGATTGTTAGGACACAGCTCCCGTTCCGATCGAGTTATTTATGGGACTGAAGCTTCTCTGGCTTTCACATTAAACACCCACCACGGGAATGGAATTAATGTCAAACCCTGCCTTTCTCTGGCAGTATTATTCATGCACGAACACACAAACTGCTACCAAAAAGTGCCCCTCCCTCCTTTTAGGAACTGCCTTCCAACAAAAATTTACTTTCTATCTTTATTTTTATTTTCGAGACAGGGTCTCGCTCCATCACCCAGGCTGGAGTGCAGTAGCGTGATCACAGCTCCCTGCAGCGTCAACCTCTGGGGCTCGAGCAATTCCCTGCCTCAGCCTCCTGAGTAGCTGGGACTACAGGTGCACGCACCACCACACCTGGCTAACTTTTTAGTTATTTGTAGAGAGGAGGTCTTGCTATGTTGCCCAGGCTAGTCTTGAACTCCTGGGCTCAAGCAATCCTACTTCCTTGGCCTCCCAAAACACTGGGATTACAGGTGTGAGCCACCAAGCCCAGCCTACTTTGCATCCTTATTAGTTCTCAAAATGTATAATACATTCACATTCTTTGTATCGGTTATATACTACCAATAATTATCATGATAATCCAGCCCAGGAAATACATGTTAACGCAGGAAAATGCTTAAATCTTGACATTCCAATTATGTACATAGTTTTGTATGACAGGGGAATCAGAAGACTTTCAAACATGAAAATATATTAGGATAAAATCGGCTGGGTGGAATGGAGGGAGGCATTAAGGGAGAGAGGGGTGGTGTAGAGATTCAGACGCTGAAGAGGAGTCGATTTGTGTCTGTCTTTTAAACGGCTCATGAAATGTTATTGATACCCTCATTTTTGTCTGCTGAATTTTTTAAGTTGATAGATTTTATTTTTTAGCCTGGTTCTGAATTTATAGGACAACTGGGCGGAAAGCACCCAGTTCTCATTACTCTTTCGGGCTCGTTCCCTGGGGGGCCCGGGGGAGGGTCTCTGCGTTGCACCTGGCACTGGTGTGATACCTTTGTTACAACCAATGAACCAACACTGACAAATCCACAGTTTACACTGGGCTTCTCTCTTGGTGTTACATTCTGTGTGTCTAGACAGCATATGACTTGTGTCTACCATTAGAGTGTCATACAGAATAGTGTCACTGCCCTAAAAATCCTCCGTGCAGTCTGGGCAACACAGCAAAACCCTGTCTCTACAAAAAAATAAATAAAATTAGCTTGGACTGAGACGGGAGGATCGCTTGAGCCTGGGAGGTCAAAGGATGCAGTGAGCTGTGATCACACTACTGCACTCCAGCCTGGGCGACAGAGTGAAACCCTGTCTAAAAACAAACAAATAAACAAACAAAAACTCAGCTGGACGCATTGGCTCATGTCTGTAATCCCAGCACTTCGGGAGGCTCAGGTGGGCGGATCATGAGGTCAGGAGTTCGAGACCAGCCTGGCCAACTCGGTGAAACCCCATCTCTACTAAAAATACAAAAATTAGCCAGGCGTGGTGGCGGGTGCCTGTAATCCCAGCTACTCAGGAGGCTGAGGCAGGAGAATCACTTGAACCCAGGAGGCAGAGGTTGCAGTGAGCCGAGATCGTGCCACTGCACTCCAGCCTGGGCGACAGAGCAACACTCTGTCTCAACAAACAAACAAACCCCTGTGCTTTCCCTACTCAACCTTCCCTATTCTATAGCCGCCTGAAAACCACGGATCTTTTTACTATTTCCATTATTTTACATTTTCCTGAATGCTGTTGAGTTGGAATCACACAGTACGTAGCCTTTTCGGACTGACTTCTTAGCAAAATTCATTTTTTTTTTTTCTTTTTGAGATGGAGTCTTGCTCTGTCGCCCAGGATGGAGTACAGTGGCGCAATCTCGGCTCACTGCCACTGCAACCTCTGCCTCCTGGGTTCAAGTGATTTTCTTGTCTCAGCCTCCCAAGTAGCTGGGATTACAGGTGCTGCCACCATGCCCAGCTAAGTTTTGTATTTTTAGTAGAGATGGGGTTTTGCCATGTTGGCCAGGCTGGTCTCGAACTCCTGACCTCAGGTGATTCACCCCTGAACTCCTGACCTCAGGTCATTCACCTCCCTTGGCCTCCCAAAGTGCTGGGATTACAGGTGTGAGCCACCACACCCGGTCATCAGTGTTCACTTTCCATAGCTTGACAGCTCACTACTTTTTGTCATGGATAATATTCTATTGTCTGCATATGCCACAGTATTTTATCTCTTCACCTATTGAAGGCTGTCTCAGTGGCTTCTAAGTTTTGGCAAATACGAATGAAACTTCTATAAACACTGATATGCAGGATTTTGTGGGGACATAAGTTTTTAACTCATTTGGGTAAATACCAAGAAACGCGAATGCTGGGTCGCATGGTAAGAGTGTGTAGTTTCATAAGAAACGGTCAAACTGTCTTCCAAAGGGCTGTACCATTGTGCATTCCTGTCGGCAATGAATGACAGTTCCCGTTGCTCCACATCCTCATCCTCACCGGCATCTGGGTTTGTCGGTGTGTTGAGTTTTAGTTATTCTAACAGGCGAGTCGTGGCCTCTTGTGGCTTTGCTGACACACTCCCTAGTGGCAAGGCCGCTGGGCATCATTTCATATGCTTGTTTGCCAGATCTTCTTCTCTGATGTCTATTCAGATCTTTTGCTCATTTTTAATTGGGCTGTTTGTTTTCTTATGGTTGGTTTTAGGAGTTCTTTGTATATTTTAGATAATGGTCGTTTATCAGATATGTGTTGCCCAAATATTTTCTCCCAGTGTCTGGCTTGTCTTTCCATTCTCTTCATAGTGTCTTTTGCCGAAGTATTAAATTTTAATGAAATCCAACTTACCAAATTTTTATTTTATACATCATACTTTTGGTGTTATATTTAAAAGCTCACTGTTTTAGGTAGGGAGCTGAGAGAAAATGCAGGTGTTTAAGAAAGTTTAGGCCGGGCGCGGTGGCTCACATCTGTAATCCCAGCACTTTGGGAGGCCGAGATGGGTGGATCACGAGGTCAGGAGATCGAGACCATCCAGGCCAACATGGTGAAACCCCGTCTCTACTAAAAATACAAAAAAAAAATTAGCCGGGCGTAGTGGCGGGCGCCTGTAGTCCCAGCTACTTGGGAGGCTGAGGCAGAAGAATGGCGAGAACTCAGGAGGCGGAGCTTGCAGTGAGCCGAGATCGCGCCACTGCACTCCAGCCTGGGCGACTGAGCGAGACTCTGTCTCAAAAAAAAAAAAAAAAAAGAAAGTTTATTCAGACATTTTTGATGAACAACAGTGGCTATCAAATTGCTATGGTATCTAGAATCCATTAGCCACCCACTGATTTTAAAATATCTATACCTATAGCACATCAGACTTTCTATTCTTGGCAGCTATCTAAACTTTTGTTGCAGATTTTTAGTTATAACAGAAAATGTTTGAGGGAGTCTACAGCGCTCAGAACTATTTTCTGAAGGTCAGCAATGGTGATGGCCTGGCCTCCCCCGGACCATGCTGGCCTGGCAGGACCCCAGCTCTGCCAAAGAACAGCCTGTGACCTGCGATTACCCAAGCTTTCTGGGTCCCGGTGTTCTCCTCCAGCAAACAAGGCTGGTGGCAGGACCTACCTCCCAGGGCCACGGAGGGTACATGAGAGGGCCTAGCGCCTGCCCCTTGGCCAGGGCCCCTCAGACAGCGAGTCTTACCTGGTGTCAGAAGGGGCCATGACTGCGGGGAAGTGACATACCGCAGGGATGCCTGTGGCAAGTATTTATAAACTGCGTCTTTATCCAAATCTTGAGCTGGGCACTGTTGAGCAGTTGAGAGGGACATCAGATGTGGGTGCTGCCCTTTGGGGAGGGGGATCAGGATGGCCAGAAGTGCAGTTGGCAGGACAGAAGGTTGGGGTTTTTTTCTGAGAGCAGCAGGGTGGGGCCTCAGAGGCGCACCCAGCACAGGTCAGCAAAGCTGGGGCTGCCCCGCTGTGCGCTGCGGGCCCTAGAGCCAGGCATGGTCTTCCCGGAGTTTCCATGGGTGTGTGATTGGGGTACTAGATGGTGGTGGGGAGTCAACTTTACTCGGAAAGGCTGTCATGCCATGAGGAGGGGAAGCGGTTTCTTTTTTTTTTTTTTTTGAGACGGAGTCTCACTCTGCCGCCCAGGCTGGAGTGCAGTGGCCGGATCTCAGCTCACTGCAAGCTCCGCCTTCTGGGTTTACGCCATTCTCCTGCTTCAGCCTCCTGAGTAGCTGGGACTACAGGTACCCGCCACGTCGCCCAGCTAGTTTTTTATTTCTTTTTTTAGTAGAGACGGGGTTTCACCGTGTTAGCCAGGATGGTCTCCATCTCCTGACCTCGTGATCCGCCCGTCTGGGCCTCCCAAAGTGCTGGGATTATAGGCTTGAGCCACTGCGCCCGGCCAAAGCGGTTTCTTTTAAGTGAAGTGAGCTCTTGCCTCTATAGACAGTGACAGACTGGGGCTCCGTGGGAGCACCCTCGAGTTCCCTCCTACAGTGCTCTGCCTCCTCCCGAACCCTGAGTGTGGCCCTCTAAGGTCCTGTTCACCCGTGGTCTACCTCCCGCACAGGTGACGCTGGCCTTGTCGGACAGACTGCAGACATCTTTCACACAGGGCTGGGAGTCTCCTCCTTCAATGTCCCCTCGAAATGCCCAGGAGCTGTGACTTGGCCGCATCCAGGGCAAGAAACCAGTCCTGGGATAAGGCAGCAGGAGGTCCGTGTGGCTGAGAGGCTCAGCCTCTCCACCTGTAAAATGGGTGTTCCGGAAGCATCCGTGCAGCACAGGGGGAAATGCAGAGATGGTGCCCAGCTCTGTGCCGGCTACTGCCAAGAGCATCTGACCACCCTGTGACCGCTGGGCTAGGCATCGGGCAGGCCCACTCACAGCACAGAAGGAAGCCCTCCTGCCTGCGACATCCCTCTCTTCTCTACCACGCCACCGCGGCTCTCCTGAGTGGGGAGCAGGGGCTGTGGTGGGGCGGGAGCAGCGCCTGGGTTGTGGTGTCTGATGGCTGCAGTGGTATCTTCGGTGCCTTCAGATCTGTCACTCCTCAAATGGTTGTGAGCACCCTGTGTAAGTCACAGACACCTCAACTGGTCACTTAACACCCAAAGCCTGCAGTCCAGAGAACTGAGACCACAGACGTGCTGCTGGTGCTGGGTGAGGGTTTCCGGCCCAGGTCCAGGCCGGCTTCTGCTCCCAGGCCCTGTGGGAAGCTAGAGCTGCCGCAGGCATTGTTGAGCTCCCAGCCCCACTGACTTCTGGGTGGTTCGCTGCTGAATTCTCCCACCTGCCCCCACTGCCACGTTTATGTTGCTTTGTAACATCTCTGAAACCTGGGGGCGTTTTAGGATTAGTACGGGCAGCATGTTTTCCTTTCTTAGTGGCACATAAAATAATGGTGCATCTTAAAATCCACTGTGCCTCAGAGTCCATGAAGCCAGGGAGCCAGGATGGATAAATTTCTAGCATAAAATCAGTAACCTCAGGCAACACACCCAATGCATGAGGACTTACACTGTTCTGTGGGGTGGGCTCAGGACCTCGCCGCCCTCCACAAGGGCTGGGCTGAGCCACATGGGCAAGCACCATGTTAGAGCACAGTCTGAAAAGCAGGAGAATGTAGGTGCCCGGTGTTTGTGTCACAATTTTCACGGAGTCTGGCGGGCTTTAGACAGCACTCCCCACAGTGAGGAGCTGGAGGAACTGGCTGGGCCACACTGTGGTTAGTGACCCAGCTGACCAGACCACTACCCAAGGGCTGCAGGAGGCGGGGGTGCTGTCCTCCCCTTCACAGAGGCCCCGTTGTGGGTTTCTGTCTCCTTCCTCTGCCAGCTCAGGTGGGTAGAGCCAAGTCCACGAGAGGGACGAGGGGTGGGGGAAAAAGGCCCGCGGCACAAAGCTGGAACGGGCCATGTTTCGCACGTTGCTGTACTTTTATACTAGGGGACTGGGGACTTCGGACCTTCACATGCAAAATTTATGCGAAATGAGAGGCAAACCAAGGCTCTGCTGCTCTGAAGTTCTGGCTTCTTCTGTCTCCTAACGGTGACCTCTGGGCCCCACCCCCCGCTTGTATCTAAGAAATAAGAGCACGTGTGAGTTAGGGCAGGAAACAGGGAAAAGGCGCCAATTTTAGGAAAATGTACTAAGCAGGCAAATGCACCAGATACACGCCACAAAGTACTTCAGGGAAAAGCAAAGTGGTCGGGCGAGGGGGCCCGCCGGCAAAGTGCGGAGAGGCCAGGGCAGCGGCTCGGGCCGTTTCTGCAGGTGGACATGAAACGCACAATATGCAAACGAATGCAAAGCGTATGCAAATGACCTGGCCCCGGGGCCAGCGGGGGGCGAGGGCTTCACAGCGGACCCGCCCGGGAGGCTGAGCGGGGGGAGCGCGACCCCTGCCGGCCGCGCGCGGAGGTGGCCCCGGCCGGGACGGGCGCCGCGCGGGGGGCGAGCGCGGAGCGTGGGGCGAGCGCGGGGCGGGAGGCGGCGTCCGGAGGAGAGACTTTCCCCTCCAGCTCCCCCTCAACCCTCACCCCCACCCCCACCGCCCCCCCCACCCACCCCCGTTCAGCCTCCCGCGCGGCCGCCAGAAGCCGCGGCTCTAAAGCTGCGAGACCCGCGGCCACCGACTGCTGCGAGGTGGGTGTGTGCGGCCTGCGGAGGGGGAGAGGGTGGGCGCAGGCGGGGGCCGCCCCCCAGAGCCGCGCCCCCTCCACGGCGCCCGCGCCCCGCAACCTCTCCGCGTGCCCCCGCCTGCGCCCCCCCCGCGCCGCCCCCCGCAGGAGGCCGCGCGCCCCTCGCCCCCCTCCCCGCGCCCCCTCCCCGCGCCCCCTCCCCGCGCCCCCCCCCCCTCCCCCCCCCCCCTCCCCCCCCCCCCCCGCCCCCTCCCCCTCCCCGCGCCCCCACCCCCTCCCCGCGCCCGGTGCTCCGCACAGCCCTGGCCCCCACGGCCAGTTCTTAGGGCGCGCCCCGGTGGCGGAGGCATTGGGGGCGGCTCTCGGCAGCGGGGAGCCCCTCTCCAGGCCGGCGCCCCGGGGCGGAGCTGAGCGCGATGGGCGCCGGGCGGGAGGCAGGTGGCGCAGCGGCGGCGGCGGGGGGCAGGAGGCGGAGGCGGAGCGCGCGGGGCGGGGGCCGCGGGGCCCCGTGAGACTCTCGGGCGAGCGCGCGGCGTTGGAGCCACAGGCGCGGCGGCTGGACCCGGCGCGGGCCGCGGAGGCCGGAGACCGCCCGGCGCGGGGTGCGCGCTTTGTTCCCGCGCGGGGTGGCCGGAGCCGAGTCCCCGGCATGGCCCAGGCGGCCGCCCCGCGCGCCCCAGCCCCGCCGCGCGCCTGAGCCCGGTGCGGCGCCAGAAGACGGCGCGCAGCCGCCCCCGAGTCGCGGAGGTGGGGACCGAGCTGGAAGGAGCAGCTACTCCCGGACCGGGTCACGAGTGTGCGCCGTCCGCCGCCCCCCGGAACCCCCGGACCCCCGACCGTAAGTGCCGCGTCCGCCCCGCGCGCCGCCGCCGCTCTCCCCCGACTCCGCCCGCGGCTGCCGTTCCCGGATCTGCGCCGCAGCCGAGTGGAGCGCACGGGCCGTTTTCAAAGTTGGTGCCCACGGCAGGGTGGAGCCAGCCCGCCCAGCGCCCACCCATCCGGGCTGAGCGCAGCCCCCTGTGAGCGGAGCCTGACCTGCGGGGGCTGCGGTGAAACTTCAGGGGGAAACGACGCGCCCGGGCGCTGGAAGTCCCGCGGGCTCCCCTGGGGCCGCCCGGTTTTCCTAACAAAGGCCCCGCGGCCCGCGTGACGGGGACTCGGGAGTGGGGAGGCCGAGGGCGGCCCTGGGAGAGGCCGAGGTGCCGGCGGCCGGGCTGGGAAGGAGGGTCCAGAGCTCCCTCCAGCCCCTCCCTCTCCCGCCCGGGTCCCCGGCGCTGCCCGGCGGGCTCAGGGTGGTCCGCGCTGGGGGGCCTGGACCCTGCCTGGCGCGCCGTCTCTGGGGTCCTGACGGCCGCAGGCCTCGGCACAGCCCGGTGGCAGCGATGGCGCGCACAGCCTTTGGGAAGCGTCCATCTGTGTTGGGCAGGCCCGGAGCCAGGCTGTGGGAACAGCGGGGAGGGAGGTGTGAGCCTCTGTGGAGGGACAGATGGCTGGAAACGCAGCCCTAGACGGCTGACTTCACTTACGTGGAGCAGAAGGCGGCCAGGCTGGTGGCGGCGACTCAGAGCCGCTGGGCTCCGAACACACTGCGGGGCTGGCGCACCCCGCCCCTGCTCCCGCCCTGTGTGTGCTGGGGCCGCGGCCGGGCTGTGCCCACCCCTTCACCCTGTGGGCTGAGGCCGGCTGACTTAGGCCCATTCCAGGGCCCAGGAAGAAAAACGTTTCCTTTGAAAAGAGCACGTCGCGTGCTCCCGTGGGTGGGGGCTGGTCGGTAGCTGTCAGGCTTGTGGCTCCGGCCAGGGTGCGGCTTCTGTGCGTCCGGCCCGGGTGTGCGTTTCCTCTCCTGGACCAGGAACAGGAGGTTCCCAGGGCAGCCACCTCGGAGGACGGGTCGGCCGGGGATAAGGGGCGGGGGCCAGTTATTCGGTGCGTGGCATTGCTCAAGTTGCTGCGAGGTTGGGGAAACTTCTTGAGACTGGGACTCCACTGTGTCCCCCAGACCTGAAGGGGTGAGGGCTGGGCCTGAGCGTGTCCGACCCTCACCTGCCCCTGGCATCGCATTCCCGGCAGGGGAGGAGGCAGGAAGGCCCAGCCCACAGTTCCTGGGCACGCTCATCCGTGGAGGGCTGGCTCTGTGTGCCTCTGGGGTTGGGCTGCGTCCTTTGCCCCGGCTCCAGTCTGGGCGTTGGGAGTCAGAAACTTCCACGGGGGCCAGACAGGCGGATGCTGTGCACGCTGGAGCTGCGGGGAGGGTCCTGTTCAGTGTGCCGACAGCACCGTGCCTGGAAAAGCCATGCTGTTTGGGACTGTCCTGCTGGGCAAGTGGTCACTTCCACACTGGAAGGGAAACAGAAAGGAAGAAGCGCCCACAGCAGGAGGAACAGATGTGGCCTCCACCCGAGATTGGGGCTCCAGGGAGGGCAGAGAGTATGGCATGAGCATCAGTCTTCCGGCAGGCTCCATCTCTCCTGGGATGTGCTGGGATCCTCTAGCGACAGGGGAGAAGGGAAGTTCACATGAGTGGTTCGTGGTGCTGGGGCCACGCTGTCGCCACCTGTGAAGCCAGGGCCGGTGAGCGGGAGGGCTTTCCCCAGACATCTCCTTCCAGAACCCTCCGGGGCTGTGCACACGCCAGCCGCCCGAGCCCCCCTGTGCTCTTCCCCTGCCGCCCTCTATCCGTGTAATTCAGTTACCACCTCCAGGAAATCTCTCTGGTTTGGCTCCACGTATTTTCATTTCTGCATGACTGGAAGAAATTAATTTTTCTCCCTACGTGAGGATCTGGAGACGCTGCGGGCAGGCCGGGTCACTAATCCCCAAGATCCCAGCCCTCAGGGCTGCACCAGGGAGGGCTGGGCCTCGCTGCTGCCACGTCTGGGGTGGTGGGGAGGGTGTGAGATGGGTGAGGCATTTTCCTGCTAGCTTCTGGAACCATCTTGGGGCTCTCTGCTGGCCTCCCCCTCCCCTGCTGCACCGTTCGCAGGTTGACTTTGGGGTTTTCTGATTCATCCTCAGCCTCCCACAGTGCCAGGGTGGAAGGATGGTGGTTGAATTAAGTGGATCTGATTTCCTTCCCAGGCAGGGAGGGAGCAGGAACAACTTCAGCGTGCCCCAGTGCTGTGTGTGCCCCGCGGGTGTTCGGACCCAGCATGGAGGGAGCAGCAGGACCTTGTTAGTGGTGCCACAGGTGAAGGCATCGGCGTCTCCGTGGGGCTGCTCTCCCGGCCGGCACTTGCTGCACTGCCTGCCTGTGGCCCGTCTCTCCTCTCAGAGGGTCACGGAATGGTTCTTACAGCCTATGACAGCGCTGGGGATTACACGCACTGTTGTGTCCCTATAACACCCACGAGGGCTGTGTAGCGTTCCCCATCTCCAATGCCGGGACAGGTACAGTCACTCCACAGGTCATGCAGGGAGCCAGTCTGATGGTGAACTGCATCGAGTGTCTCCAGGCCCCTGTGTCTCCAGGCCCCTGTCCAGCCCCGCCCAGCCCCTGTCTAGCCCTGCCTGGGCGTTCCTTTGCCTGTGCCGTCGGTCCCCGTCCCCAGCCTGCCAGGCCACATTCTTAGAGCACCTGAGCACCCCCAAGGGGCTGGGGGATCTGGTGGCTGAGAGCTCGGTCATGACTCGGGGTTAGCACTGTAGGTGCAAAAGCCCTCCTGGACACAGGCCCTGGGGTCCATCTGGGGTCAGGGCACAGGTGGGAGACCTTGACCTCTGCCCTGCCTGGGTCACAGAGCCCCAGAGCCAACCTCATCTCAGCTGCTCTAGTCCTGCACCTCTGGCCAGCCTCACCTCTGCCTCCCACCCTGTGTGCAAAGGAGGGGGGTCGTTGTTGCTAAAGACCCTCCGGAAGCCGCTGGAACGTTGCCTGGCTGTTACCGCAGACAACATCCACTGTTCGTAGAAATCCACGTCCAGGCGACAGATGTCACCTCCCAGGCTGGCCCCAGGCCCCTGGGGACGGTAGGGACCCAAACTCTACAATTCGTCAATGCCACACGGTGACTTTGCCACCACTTCACTTACAGGACAAAAAGTGCCCGTCCTCTGGTGCCCATTCCCTGGGCAGGTATTGATGGAACACCTTACTCCATACCAGGCGGGGGCAGAATCACATGCAGTGAGAGGCACCCAGGCCCTGCACTAGATCCTCACGGCAGCCCTGAAGGCACCGCTGCTGCCCCACTTTCCAGACCGGGAAGCCGAGGCCCACAGAGGTTCCCAGCTCGCAGCACAGGAGCCGGACACGGGTGGGCGCCACAGGGCTCTGCCTCTGACACATCCGGGGTGGTCAGGCGCCTGGAACTTCCCACTGAGTTCTGACGTGGGAAGGCCAGCGTGGGGACGGCAGGGAGGGGGCCGGGCCCCTGTAGAGTCCAGTGCACACAGTGGGCTGGGACCCGCTGCCTCGCAGGGACAGGAGGGGGTGGAAACACAGCTGCCGGGGTACTGGCTAGGGGGCTGCAGACCACTTGAGGGCAGCTCAGAGGGAGGCTCACGACAGCGTCACCATCCTCGGTGTCAGGGTCTGGGCCAGGTTGGGTGGACACCATGCTGTTCATCCACCTCGTGGCTCAGTCTCCCTGGGAATGCCTGTGTCAGTGAACCACACCCCAGATCACTTCCTGGGGGGTTTATTCTCCACCCCCTGACTTTCCTGGGCAGAGTGAGAAGGCCTGGTTCTGCTTCTGCAGTTCCCCGGGCCGGGACTGTCCTTTCATCGGAGCCCGGGCTGTGCTGCAGGGAACAGCTCACCCCGCAGGCTTGGGAAGGGCCGCCTTAGCCAAGAGCAAATGCAGGCAAGGGCTTTGCTTGTCTGGAAAAAAATTCCTGGAGTGGAAACCGCCCTTGTAGCATCAGTGGAAAAGACTCAGGCGGAGACCTGGCACTTGGGCTGGAAACTGATGATGAGGACTGAGAGAAATTACCGCTTCCCAGTCCCCACTTCTGAGCTCGCAGCTGCCCCGAGGGTGGGAGCTGGGGTCTGAGCTCGCAGCTGGCCCCGAGGGTGGGAGCTGGGGACTCAGGACCCGCTGAGATCGGACTTTCCGCCTGTGCTGTGGCAGTGAGTTTCCTGTGGCAATAAAACAGAAGTTCAGACTTCTGCTTTTTGTAATTCGTGGGACCTCACTGAGAGCCAGATGTCACTGGGAAGGAAAACAAAGATGAATTTGGCCGTAATAAGGAAGATGTCTCCCGGAGCTGAGGCGCCAGCAGCCCAGCCGGCAGCTCACCCTACACTGTTCTCGGCCGCCTGCCTCTGCGTTTCCCACCCGCTCAGCCTCCCAGGGCCAGTTCTGCCCCGTGTCGGGTCTGGGCAGCACAGAGCCTCCTCGGCTGCCCCTGAGGCTGGGGTCATGGTGGATGTGGCAGGAGGAGGTTTGGGGAGGAAGTCCGGGCACCGACGCGATCTTTTGTTTACTTGGCAGAGAAAAGTCCACACCGGTGAGGCAGCAGGTGGGACCTGCTGGTGACCAGGATGGGAGATGCCCGGGAGACGCCCAGGAAACACCCGGGGCAGTCAGGAGGGCTCCTGCGCACCCTGGTGGCCCCAGGCCACAGATGGAACTCACGAGGAAGTCCCCACCCAGTGTACCCAACCTCCTTGAGTACCCAGGAAAGCCAGGGTGCAGTCAAGCCAGCAAGGGAAACAGCACCCGTTGCAGTGAGGCCCTCTTACAGGTGGGGAGGGGCTCCCCACCAGGGCCAGGGGTGACTGCATCCCCCTGCCCTGTTCTCAGAGGCAGCGGGGAGGGGGTGGGCAGCCACTCAGCTTCTTGGAGCCCCCATCTGGATTCGACTCCCCTCCCGGCAGCTGCGTGACCTACAGCAGATATTCCCGTCTGTCCCTTGGGTTTCAGACGCAACATGCGGTCACAAAGGCCGTGATGAGCTGGGAAAGGCCTGTGTGTGTCTGGGCTGGGACTGTCAGCCTCGTCCCCTTTCTGGGGGGACACCCAGTGGTGTCCTGCGACTCAGTGGTGGATGAGGCATGAAGGCAGCTCTGCACCCAGGCCCCCTTCTCTGCAGGCCCCCAAACAGAAGCTCACTTTCTGCACCTTTGCACAATGGGGTGGTCCAGGGAGACCACCTCAATGGTCAGACCCCTGCACAGACCACAGACCCCAGGCCCTGTGCCTGCTCCACCCACGCAGGGACAGCCTGCAAGGTTGGGGCCAAGCCCTGGGGCCCTGCCTGCACCATGCCACCTGCAGACCATTTACAGAGGGGAAACTGAGGGTGGGATGAGTTGCACCCTCTAGTTACTCCCTGTCAGAGGCAGAATTCCCACTTGGGAGCTGAGGCCACCTGACTTGGGCCATCCTGAGCCTAGGTATTTCTGCCTAGGGCATTCTCAGGCCCTTCCCCTTGCCTTGGCCACCACCCTGGGGCTCCGCAGCCTAATCCAGCCCAGCCTGTACTCAGAGCACAGTGGACCTGGGGTCCTTCCACGCGGCTTCTCCTGCGCCAGAGACATCAGAACCCAGGACTGCCCCTGACCGGGGGCAGCGTTGGGTCTCTGGGCCATGGCTGTGCCTGAGTGGACAGAACAGGGGCCTTGGGTGCTGGACTCCACGTATCCCTGTGCCCGATGGCGGCTTGCAGCTCCGCCACGTGGCCTTCAGTTCCCTTAAAGAATGTGTCCTTCTGAACTTCGGGGTGGAAGAGGGCAGGGCACAGCCCTTCATGCCTCTTTCGCGGCATCTCTGCCTCCCCTACCAGGCCCTGCCAACAGCAAGAACAGGCAGCAAGGCCAGACTTATCTCCACTCCTCTGGGCCTCCGTGTCCTCACCTGTCCCTTGGGAGGGTTGGTCAGCACTGCAGTACCGTGCACTGCGCACAGGGAAGACGGAGCCTCGCCTGCCGCTCCCCGATGGTGCAGCCCAGGCGTGTGGCTGAGACCCTCTCTGTGTGGCCCTGCTGGCTGCCGTGTCCCCACTGTGCCTCTGCGGCCGAGCTGCTCCTTCAGGGTCCAGCACTGTTCATGCCCAGAAGCCCAGACCATCCAACAGGGGACCTGGGAGCAGAGTGTTCGGGAACATGCACGGAGCCTCCCCTTTGGGCCCGAGTCAGCTTCTCCTGTGACCTGAGCAGCCACCGTGTGGCAGCCCTTGTCACCCGTGCCTGTGTGTGCCTGGGGCAGCCTCTCCCCAGGGAGCTTCAGCGTGCCAGGGAAGGGGCGTGGATCATTTCGGACTGTCTCGTGGCCACGTTGAAAAAGGGAAGAAGAGGCCGGGCACGGTGGCTCAAGCCTGTAATCCCAGCACTTTGGGAGGCCGAGACGGGCGGATCACGAGGTCAGGAGATCGAGTCGAGACCATCCTGGCTAACATGGTGAAACCCCGTCTCTACTAAAATACAAAAAAAAAAAAAAAAAATTAGCCGGGCGAGGTGGCGGGCACCTGTACTCCCAGCTACTCGGGAGGCTGAGGCAGAATGGCATGAACCCGGGGGGCGGGGCTTGCAGTGAGCTGAGATCCGGCCACTGCACTCCAGCCTGGGCGACAGAGCCAGACTCCGTCTCAAAAAAAAAAAAAAAAAGAAAAAGGGAAGAAGAGACTGGGCAAAATTAATGCTTATAATATATAGTCTTACTTAACTCAGTGTGTCCAAAACTCATTATTTTCGACATGCACTGATTTTTTAAGTGACTGAGGTATTTTATTTAAGCTCTCGCAGGGGCGGTGTGCACCTTGAACTCACTGGGGTCTCGCCTCCGCCCTCCTCATGCCGGTTCTGTGCTTGCGGCCGTTGCACTGCACAGAGCATGGGACAAGGGATTTCACCAAGTGACACACGCATGGCATGAAGTGGCCACTATGGCTGTGGGGATGCAGGCGTGAGGCACTGTGAGGCGTGCGGAGGCGTGTGAGGTGTGTAGAGGTATGTGAAGTGTGCAGAAGCATGCAGACGTGGCACTGTGAGGCGTGCAGTCTGGGGCCCTGCCCTGGGGGAGCGCAAAGCAGCCCCCAGGAGTTGACCAGTGAGGCAAATGGGAGGTGCACCAGGCAGGGCCGGGGCCACAGGGCAAAGCCTGTCTGGAGAGAAGGCTGGTGGCTTGCACACTGAGGGCCTGACCTGTCTCTGGGCATGCAGGCTTCCAGCAGAAGTGACGTCTCCAGGTCCTGGCTCCATGCCATCACCTCCCTCAAGCTCCCAGGACCTGGCCCAAGAGGCCATTTTCTTTTCTTTCTTTCTTTTTTTCCCCCAGACAGAGTCTCACTCTGCCACCCAGGCTGGAGTGCAATGGTGCAATCTCGGCTCACAGCAACCTCCATCTCCCAGCTTCAAGTGATTCTCCTGCCTCAGCCTCCCGAGTAGCTGGGACGACAGCCACACGTGTGCACCCGGCTTGGTGTGTGTGTGTGTTTAGTAGAGACATGGGTTTGCCATGTTGGCCAGGCTGCTCTCGAACTCCTGACCTCAGGTGATCCACCCGCCTCGGCCTCCCAAAGTGCTGGGATGACAGGCGTGAGCACCGCACCGGCCTCTTTTTTCCCTTTCTTTAGAGTGGGGGTCCTCCTCTATCGCTCAGGCTGGAGTGCAGTGGTGTGATCATGGCTCACTGCTGCCTTAACCTCCTGGGCTCAAGCGATCCTCCTGCTTCAGCCTATAGAGTAGCTGGGACTACAGGTGTTCACCACCATGCCCAGCTAATGGTTTTTTTAATTTTTAATTTTTTTGGTAGAGATGGAGGCTCGCTACATGGCCCAGGCTGTCTCAAGCTCCTGGGCTCAAGTGATCCTCCTGCCTCAGCCTCCCGGAGTGCTGGGATTGTAGGTGTGAGCCACTGCCCAGCTTAAGAGGCTGTTCTACGGTCATTGAGTCCAGTGCCAGGGCGTTTCTTTCCTGGAAGCGTGCTCTGCCCATTTGCTGGGATGAGGAAGCGGGGGCTGTGTGAGGGGCCACCTGGCAGCCTGTCTGGGCGACGACGCCAGCCCTGAGGTCACTGTATCGGGTGCCGTTACCAGGGGCGCACATGCAGGTGCGTGCGTGTAAAGTCTGAGTGTGGATGGCGTGCACACGTGTGCATGTGTGTGGCATACCACGGTGTGAAAACCAGGCCGGGAGGAAGCATGACCTATGACCTGGCTGTCCATACTCACAGGGGATCCCCACAGCCAGCCTCAGAGAATGTTCTGCGCATGAAAAGTGTGTCGGCGAAGTGCTTGCCCTCCCCAAACCCTCCTTCCCGTGCCCTCTGCACTGTGACCCCATGAGAGCTTTTATAAAGCATGAGTCGTGACCCCAGGGCTCACCGGGGGCCACAGCACCTGCGTCCAACCAAACCTGCCCAGACCCAGGGACCGTGCTGCCCCGGGACTGGGGTGACCGGAGGGACAAGCAGAGGCCTGAGCTGCAGGCCAGTGCCCCCAGCACCTGCTCACTCTGCACCACGGGGCCAGCCCACGGCCCTTCTCCACCTCTGGCTCATCCTTGGCATGTGGAGGGGCTTCTGCCCAGGAGACCTTCGGGCTGGAAAGGTCACTTGCCACAGACTGGTCCTTGTGGGCCCCTCCCACCTCTAAGGGTGTGCTTGTGTCTCTGGAAGGGGGGTGTTTGCAGCAAGAAGGTCGCTCAGCTCCCACTCACTCCAGCCACCAGCCTTCTGGGCCCTGGCCTCCACCCTCCTGGTTACCAGCACAGCCAGGCCCACAGAACCAGGGCTGGGGTCACAGCAGTGTCTCCCGCTACCTGCCTGCAGGTGGGCCCCAGTAGACAGGAGCAGAGCCCCTGGGAGGGAGGCTGAGCCCCTCTCACATTTGCCCCCGCATCTCCTCACTCCTCCACCCCTAGCTCCCAGTCTGCCCCCTCCCCATCTCCTCACTCCTCCACCCCCAGCCCCCGGTCAGCGTCCCCCACCCATCTCTGTGAACTTGCCTGTTCTGGACGCCTCAGATGAGGGGGACGGGGCCACAAGTGGCTGTTGCATCTGGCTCTGTCACTCAGCACGGGGCCTTCATGGCTCCCCGCACTGGAGCCTAGTGGAGAGCGTCCTTCCCTGTGGCTGAGTTGCACAGCACTGTGTGGAAAGACCGTGTTTTGTGTGTCTGTTGATGGACCCGTGGGTTGTTGCCCCCATTGTGGTTACGGTGGACCATGCAGCCGTGGGTATTGGTAGTTTTTGCGTGGATGACACAGCCGTGGGTATCGGTAGTTTCTGCGTGGATGACACAGCTGTGGGTATTGGTAGTTTTTGCGTGGATGATGCAGCCGTGGGTATTGGTAGTTTTGCGTGGACCACGCAGCCGTGGGTATCGGCAGTTTTTGCGTGGACCACGCAGCCGTGGGTATCGGCAGTTTTTTTTTTTTTTTTTTTGAGACAGAGTCTTGCTCTGTCGCCCAGGCTGGGGTGCAGTGGCCGGATCTCAGCTCACTGCAAGCCCCACCTCCCGGGTTTAGACCATTCTCCTGCCTCAGCCTCCCGAGTAGCTGGGACTACAGGCGCCCGCCACCTCACCCGGCTAGTTTTTTGTATTTTTTAGTAGAGACGGGGTTTCACTGTGTTAGCCAGGATGGTCTCGATCTCCTGACCTCGTGATCCGCCCGTCTCGTATTGGCAGTTTTTGCGTGGACCACGCAGCCGTGGGTATCGGCAGTTTTTGCGTGGACCACGCAGCCGTGGCTATTGGTAGTTTTGCGTGGACCACGCAGCCGTGGCTATTGGTAGCTTTTGCAGGGATGAATGTCTTCATTTCTCTTGGTTGGATTCCTAGGAGTAGAATCCCTGGCTCACCTGGGGACTCTGGGTTTCATTGTCCACAGGGTTTCAGGGGATAAATTATCAAGAAAAGCTGCTGTCCTGGTGGGCAGGGGGCTTGGCCTTGCTGTCACCGCGTCCTCCCGCAGGCACGGGAGAGCAGCCGTCTCCACACCTCTCACGGGCGATGGTGCACTGGCCCCGGGGATGGATGCGGTTGCCTGAGGTCACCGGCTGGTTCAGGGACGCTCTGGGTTGTTTGCACAGCGGCGGCCAGGCTGCCTGCAAGCTGCTGTCCTATTTGATTCCACAAACAGTTATGGGATCTCTCCAGCACCTGCTTTCTGACTGCGTGACTCGTGCCAGATTCTGTACCTGGTTTCTTTGCTTCTACCCCAGCGCCCCATCCCAGGTCCATTTTGCACTTGGCAGACAGATGGGTCCCATTAAAGGCCAGTCACAGTTCTCCAGGGATGGAGCCGAGGTCCTTGTGGGGCCAAGACCACACAAACTCCTCTCCCTTCCATCACCCACCATCACCCACTCTGCTCCGCCTTGCTGCTGCCCACCATGCCTGGCTGGCTGCAGTTCAGGGCCTTTGCGCTACTGGCCCCCATGCCCGGAATGCTCTCCCCCGACGCCTGCATGGCTCCCAGCTTCCCTTCCTCAGGTCTTGCTCAGACGTCACCTTTTCAGTGGCCACCCACTCACCCACCCCGTGCCTCTCCCGACCACCACACCTCCGAGCCTCGGCCGAGGGTCTTGTACATTTGCACAGTGTTCCTGGGCTCCCGTCCGAGGTCAGCTCCGTGGGGCAGGACTTTTGTCTGTCTGCCCCCCGCACCTGACACGGGAGGTGCTCAGGACACAGGCACCCTGTCTTGCCTGAGGGACGGTCCCCAACACCCCGCCTGGCGGGTGACAGGGCCCGGGGTCGCCGGCTGCTTCAGGGCCGCCCTCACTGGGTGCTGGAAGAGGGTTGTTTGCACAACGGCTGGGCTGCCTGCAAGCTGCCGTCGTATTTGATTCCACAAACAAATACATCCCGTGTCTGCTTTCCAGCCCTGGGGCTTGATCCTGGGTCTCGCCTGTGTGGGGGCAGCTGGACGTTGTGACCACAGAGGCAGCTGGGAGTGGCCTAGCGTTGTGACTCCCTCACAGACGTGGCCTTGGGCCCGCTCCGCCTGGTCATCGGCCCCCGAGGCCGGGGAGTGAGGGAGCGTCCCCTAAACCACAGGATCCCAGAAACGCCCCCTCCAAGCACAGCTGTGCCAGAACCGGGCAAGAAGCCGCTCGGGCCCCAGTGCTGCCGAACAAAACACTCCAAACTCAGAGGCGTGAGGCAGCCCTGGCGGTGCTCAGAGACCCTTGGGCCGGGAGATGGAACAGAGCCCCGTGGCCCCGTGATGGCCCCATGGTGGCCAGGGTCTCGGCCGGGTGGTCTTCCCTGCTGGGGTTCAAAGGCTCAGCTTGGGGATGCCAGGGGCTCGGTCAGCAGCAGTGGGTGCCGCCCTCCATGTGGCTCCCACTTCAGAGAACACCCCATGCTGGGCAGGCTTCACCAGGTCGGCATCTACGGCTTTTCTGAGCTGACTGCAGAGTGTCACGAGGCGCCTCTCCGTCGTGGCCCGTGTAGGCCAGCGGGAGGAGATCAGATCCCACCTCCTGAGGGAGCAGGTGGGTCAGTGTTGGCTCGCCACGTGTCAGTAGGGCTTGGCTCCTTGGGTAGGGGGATGGGCTAGCTGGGCCTTTGGGGCCTGGGGAGGAGGAGGCAGGAGGGGGATCATCCCAGGCAGTGCTGGCTTCCCAGGCTCCCTCTGTGACAGCTGAACCCCCTACAGCTGCCGCCCAGCCCCGGAGCAGCCTGGAGATTATCACCCACAGGCTCCATGCGAGGCTGGTACCTGGCTGGCATGGCCCCCGTGGCCAAGGCTGCTGTCTCCCTGGGTGCCCAGCTCTGACCTCATGAAGGGTTGCAGGGAGGTCCCTGGAGAACAGGTGGACCTGCCTCTTCCCTAGCCCCTCCTCCACCCCGGCAGGATTCGGACACCCAGATAACAGGCTGGCTTTGGGGTCAGGATCTGGCCCCAGGAGGAGCTGGGGCCCCCAGTTTCCAGCTGCCTCTCCCCGTGGATGGGGCCCAGCAGCCTCACCTCAGCGGGGGTGTCAGTGCTGCCTGGGGAAGTCCATGCACCTGAGGGCAGGGCGGGACCCGGCTTGTCACATTGACCTGGTCTTCATGCTGACATCTCTGGGCCACGCTTCCATCTGACCTAGCTCCTTAGGTGGTGCCCATTCATTCCTTCGACAAATAGTGATTGGTGCCTGCCGTACGCCTGAGGCTTCGGCTCCGTCTGGGAGAGGCAGGAGTGAAGGAGGGGAGCCGCCATGTGTCGCCCCCCAGGGCCGTGGGGGTTGACGCTGGCTTCTCTGGTAAAGGGACATGGAGCTTACCTGCGGGAGGAGGGAAGGGCCACGCATGCCAGGCCCGAGGCAGGAGTGTGCCACCACCTCCAGGACCAGCGAGGGGCCTTGTCTCAGAGAAAGGAGATGAGGGCAGGGAGGCGGCGGGGGCTGGGCGGGGCCAGACTGGCTGCCCTGCCACTACAAGGACCTCGTTCTCAGGTGGGGCACAAGTGACAGGCAGGGAAGGGTCGCGTGAGCTCCTGGGAGCCTACGGTGCACCGAGGCATCAGCCGGATCCGGAGGAGGAATTCCCAGCAATCCCCGCTGTAAATGCCTTCATCCCGTCTTACAGCCAAGGAAACTGAGGCTCAGCAGGCCCCACCCTGCATCTAGCTTGTCCCTGGGGAAGATCTTGCCCTCGGGCCTCCGTGCAGCCATGTGGTGCACCCACGCTCTCCTGAAACAAAGCTCGTTGGCTGACCCAGGGCCACCTGGTCTGGTGCGACATGTGACAAACTGTGTCATAGCTCTGAGACTCGGCCTGCTGACCGACCCCGAGCAGGAGAGATGGAAGGAGGTCGCTCCACCTCGATGCCTGGAAACCGCAGCACAGGGCAGTGGAGACGCCGACATTTTGGAGATGAAGCTGGGACAGACGCCTCCCAGCCCACAGCACGCCAGGTCCCTCGGAGCACTTGGGGGGCCTTCAGTGGTGGGTCGAGGAGGTTTGTCCGGTTGGACATTGGAGGATGAATTTGTCACACCTTTTACATGCTGGAACCCCCCTGCATGGAGCCCAGATTCACTCCTCGCCTCTGGGAAAAAGGCTGGGCTCTTGGAGGCAGCAGCCCGGCCCCAGAAGCCAGTTGTACCCCGGCTGCGGCTCTGCTCGGACCTCCTGGGAATTCGCTCACTGGCCCCACCGCAGTGGGACTGACCCCCTTTCACAGGTGAGGAAAGTGAGTCAGCCCAGCGCCCACCAAGTGCTCCCTGCAGAATTCACGGGGGCCTCCCCCGCCTCACGGAGCTGACTTCCAGGGGGCCGAAGAGATGCTGCCAGCTCGAGGCTGCTGCCTGTGGGAGGCAGGACAACCTTGTCTTTCTAGTCCTGGTGCTTCTGTCTCTCTTTAAAAAATCATCGTGAAAACGTTCACACGGCCTCTGGTGAAGAGAGGATGGCACCGACTCCAGAGTGCCGCCCACGTCCTTGGTGACCGGGGCTCCCCATGCTACAGCCTGGAAAAGCCCATCGCGGGGAAGCTGGGAGTCCAGGGTGCAGGGGCAGCTCGGAGCCCCCAGGAAGGCACATTCCCAGACTCCGCACACGCAGGGGCTCCTGGTGGGCAGTCGGGCAGACAGTGAAAGCTGAGGGACGGTCCCTGAAGAAACGAGAAGCCTCCGGTTCCCGTGTTGCCCTGGAGGGAGGAGCAGCATATTCAGAGCCATCCAGGTGGTCTCAGGCAAGTCTTGAGTCTCTCAGAGCCTGTGTCTCCCACTGCACAGTGACCGCTCGCCCCACCTGCCACCCTCAGAGTTGTCCTCCTGCTGGGATGAGAGTAGCACGGGGCACTCGGAGCAGGTCTCTGGCTGCCTGGCACAGGAAGGGCCTCTCTTCTCTGCGGAATATTCCCTGGGGGCTGCTTTGACTCAGCAGCACCGTCCCCCCGCCCGGCCCCCTGCAGATCTCCTGGAGGCTGCATGAGAGCACTCGGTGGATGAGTCAGGGTACGCAGAAGGCTCCGCTCAGGAGGGAGCAGCAGAGCCAGCCCCTCGTGGGTCTCCCCCAAGCAGCTGCCACCACGGCTGCGGCTGCACCGTGCCCGAGCCCGGCCCATCTGCCTGCCTGGCACCTTCCCAAGGCCGGGGGCTGGGAGAGGACCAATCGGGGCAGGGCTGGAACCCGGTCCTCTGCCCACTGCGGACATGGCCCGCTGCCCCAGGGTCAGGGAGCACGGTGTCCAGGACGAGGCCCTTGCTGTGTGACTCCAGGCAGGCCCCTGTCTCCTCTGCTGCCTCCCCCTTGGGCTGGTGCAGAGCTGAGACCCCTCACAGACACAGCAAGCCCTGGGCTTGGCCACAGTGACCGGTGGCTTCTAGTTTCTTCGGGGGCCATCCCTCAGTTTTCACTGTCTACCCGACTGCCCCATTGTCACCCACACATGGTCAGGGGTGTGTGGCTCTGTGGCCTTGGCGGAGAAAGCACTCAGTGAGGTGGGAGGTGGTGGCAGTGGCCTCCATCAGCCCGAAGCTGTGGGCAGGACTCGTCGTCATGGCCCCTGGTTGGGTCTAAATTCAGCAGGTGGTTTCCTGCACCTGCTTGGCCCCCAGTGCCTGGCTGTTCCCACCATGTCCGGCCAGCTGGGGCAATGGGTGAGACCAGCTGCATCTGGGCAGCAGAGGCTGTTTGACAAGAGTGACCTCATGCTCCCGGCCATGGGGCCTCTGCCTCTGGGGAGCCACAAAGCTTGTCCTGAGCCGCCTTGCAGGGACCACTCCCTGCATCCAGTTGCTTCGAGGCCCCACGGCACAGCACTGAGAGCTGCCCCGGTTGCCCCCGCAGCCACCACTGGGCCCTCCGCCTGCCCTCCTCCCCGTGGCCTGTGTCTGCGCTGGCCAGGTCTGCCCATTGCTGGACCCTTTTCCAAGGCCATCCCGGCCATCACCCCTGAGAGCTTCGTTCTCTGCCGCCTTCCTGGACCCCAGGCCGCTCTCCTTTGGTCTCAGCAGAGTCTAGTCTCCTCGTGGTCAGTGGCCCCAGGGAGGCAGGGCAAGGGCGGGGCTTGTGCAGGGCCACTGGGGCGGTCCTCAAGGTACACAGCACACTCCATATCAGCACAGCCCTTGCAGCTCCCAGCGAATAGCGTGGAAGGCGGGGCCCGGAGAGGGCAGATCTTCACCCAGGCTCACTAGGACTCAGCCCAGCAGGTGCGGCCCCTCCAGGGTAGACATGACCACCACCTGCCCTGCCCCCACCCCATGGGGCTCCTTGCTTTAGCCCTGGCTGGGTCGCTGTGACCTTGCCTGACCACGCCCCCACCTCCACCCGGGTCCTTGCTGTAACCCTGGCTGGATCGCCGTGCACCCTCAGCATCAGATCCCAGGGTCCTGAGGGCCTTCCTGGTCCTTAAACTGTGGTGATCTGTGCTTCCAAAGTCCTGGCCAGTGAGCCTGGGCTCCTCCCCTGGCCCCACCTTTGAGACAGGACCATCCTCGGGGCTGGATTCGGCATTCTGGTCTTTCCCCAGAGCCTCCCCAACCTAGAAGGTGCAGGCATCCAGCCCAGGAGCCCAGCGCCTGTGTTCCAAAGCCGACCTCCATGTCAGGGCCTTCCCACCCTGACAGCAGGAGCGACAGATGTGTGAGCCGGGTTGCAGAAGACGTGCGGCTTGGCCTCCCTCCGGAGCCGTGCTGCGCCCCGGGACTGGGTTGTGCGGAGCCTGAAGCCCCCTTCACGACTCAGCTGCTCCTCGGCTCACACAGCAGGAAGTGCATTTGTTGCTCATGTTGACTCCCAAAGGCCTCAAACAAACAGCCCTTCTGGTGGCAGTGGATGTGGCAGGTAACGTGGGCAGCCAAAGGTCTGAGAGGCCCCCACTCGGGCTGAGGTCTCTGTGCAAGTCCCTGGCGGCTCAGGAAACCTCGAGGCAGCAAGCAGGAGCTCAGCCTGGTGGCCTGCCTGGAAGAGGAGGCAGGCAGGGGGCACTGGGCGGAAGCGCCGAATCCTCACCTCCCTGTGGGATGAGGAGGGGGTGCAGGTCCCCCCGTTTCACAGGGAGAACGCTGAGGCCCAGCAAGGCCAGGGGACTCACCCACACCAGTGGACGCTGACTTCAAACCCGAAAGTGGTGCCCCCAGCTCGCCAACCTGCTGTGCGGTCTCAGCACATCACAAACTGCTCCACGTCTCTCCCTCCACCTTTGGCAAATCGGGGAGATGTGGGGTATTTGGAGGGACCCGGTGGGAGCCAGGCAGCTGTGCCGGTGAAGGCACTGGGGGCCTCTGTAGAGCTGGCTGTCAGGGTCGGGTCCCAGCGCTGTCCGTCCTTCTGTGCACCTTGAGCAGTTCCTTCCTCTCTGGGCCACTGCTGCCCCATCTGTACAGTGGAAAGAGTGAGAGGTTTATGTTTTCATCATGATTATATAACAGAACAGCCTCCTGGGGCAGGGGGACTGCCAAGGTTAAACGAGTTAGTATTTTTTTGGCCACGTGCAACCACACAGGGGCAAAGCCTGTGCTACAGGAACATTGGTGTCGCTGTCTCCCAGGTTGGCATGGGATTCCAGGAAGGGGCCGTCCGCCACCCTCCGGCGGCGGCTGCAAGCTGGGACCCAGCCTGTAGGAGGGATTTGCCAGGGAACAGGCATGGGTTGGCAGCTCTCCAGGGCGTGGGTGCATTCTTGACCCCGCCCTCGGGAAGGCCTCAAGCACAACCCTGGCGTGAGGTAGGAAAGGCACAGTGCTTGCAGAATGTCTGCCCCGGGCACTGGCATGGCCAGGCCCTGACACTCAGGTCCTCTCTTCTCTGTGCAGCAAAGGGCGGACAGGATTTAATGCTCCAGTCCATAGAGCCCCTTCCCACTGTGCCCATGCTGGTGCCCGAGGCAGACATGGTGAGTGCACCGCAGCACTCGGCCCTCTCAATCCTGCTAAGGCAGCGGCAGCCTTACCACGGAGGGCCCTAGGCCCTGCTGCTGGACAGGACTTTTACTCTGGCTAGACGGGCTCTGAGAGCCCAGCCAGCTCCGGCCACCTCCACATCCTTAGACTGCAGAAACCTCGGGTAAGAACAGGGTCAGTTTCTGGGGGGGCTGATTTCCAGGGAGGCCTGGGGTACCCTCTTGGGTGAAGACCCTCAAGATGCCCTTAGACCGGGAGCACCCCCACCCACCGTGTGGCACAGCCCGGCTTCAGCCCCTGAACCCGGCTCCCGGGACGTCCTGGCCGTGACACGTTTGGTGGCATCGACACCAGCCCTGAAACCAGAGTCCTGGGCTCACGGCTCACCCTGGCCTGTCCCGGTGATTTAACCTCGGGCAGGCAGTTGCCTGTGTGGGCCTCAGCTTTGACGTGTGTGAACTGGAAGTCAAAATGTACTGCGCAGAGAGGTCTGGGTGAGACGGGGTGAGGCGTCCCTATTCCCCGGGTGAACATTTACTGAAGCAAGCGAATGAATAACTGTGTCATTACCACGAAGGCTGTGGTGCATGTGGGGGGCATCCCAGGTGCCCCCAAGGAAGCAACTTAAATGAGGGCGCTGCAGCCACGAGGCCCCCAGCACCTCGATGTACGGCTCAGGAAATGGCAGCTGATAGGATCCTAATTCCCAGGGGTCCCATTTAGGGTGATTCTTATCCTCCTGCCGCCCCAGCCTTAAGGCAGAGCTTTCTGGACAAAATCCAGGCCTCCTGACTGCCCCTCCCTCGCTCCCTCAACAAAATGTGGCCCAAGAAGTAAGCAGGGGGCTGCAGACAGAGAGGGAGGGCAGGAGAGGGGCAGGGGCCGGACCCCCACCCAGGGAGATCCCGGGAATAGGGGCCCACGCGCCGCCCTGGATCGGGAAATCCCGGCTGGCAGGGTGCCACCACCTCCCTGCCACCCCATCCGTCACCAGCCAGACACATTTTCGGTCCTGCCAAGCTGGGGTGGGGCAGTGTGGCACGGAGGATGGGCTCAGCTTCCCTGCTCCCCCACCATCCTTTCTGCTGCCTGCGTGTAATTAACAGAGTAATTAAAAACAGGATGAGTTAATTGGTATTCATTTATGTGGCAGATGTTTTTAATTGAGGCAGGAAACAATTTACCTGTTTACATCAACAATGGCAAAAGCAGGCTTGTAAAACACATTTAAAAAAATATTTTCCTCTCCCTTCCTAAAAAGAATTGAAATCTCTTGGTCTCCCCTGCCCCAGGCCTCTGCCCTGTGAGAGACGGGCAGGCCCTGCCTGGGGGAAGGCCCAGGGTGGGGGCGGAGCAGGGAGGTCCCGCCAAGAGGAAACATCTGTTTAAAAGGTTTGCCTCCAGAGCAGCCTGTTTTCCTTAAATTCAGAGAAAGGATGTGTTGTTCCAGGTTGTGGAGACACCGGCCTCCACAGCCTGGAGGCTGCTCTCCAAGACACCTCCCCAGTGAGTCTGGCCCTGCTGTTTAATGTAGCCCCCTGGCAAGGGGCTTGGCCCTCCAGGAGGGCGGGAGGCAGCCTCAGGTGGGCCTGGCTGGAGGAAGACCACCCAGCTGGGGCTGGCAATCAGGCAGGGCAGGGAGGGGCTGGGGACCCAGTCCTCCTGGCAGAATCCGGGAGCAGGCAGGTGTGGCTGCCCCCCAAGGGAAGGCAGAGGCCGCCCTCATCCACCTGCGTTTTTGGTGCCTTTGGCATTGTGTGGTGGGGCCTCCTGCCACTCCGTCACCACACACCACCTGTGGCCATTGGAATTTAAATTAATTAAGATGAAATATTCCTGGCCAGGAGCAGTGGTTCACGCCTGTAATCCCAGCACTTTGAGAAGCTGAGGTGGGCGGATCACTTGAGGTCAGGAGTTTGAGACCAGC